AAGAAATCAAATAAACTAAAAGAGTTAGTAATTGTGTTTGTAATTAGGTAATTATAAAATATCAGATGACGCTAATTTTTGTAAATTAGAATTTCTAAAAAATAATATTTAATAAATWAATTAATATATAAGTGTGTATTATTTTTAAGCGTTTATATAATGTCTCACACGATTATATTAAGCTTGACATTATAAAATAATATACACAATATAACCAACATCTGACATTAACGGATTGAATAAGTTTGTAAGAGAATATTTTTTAATATTGTCCTGGAACATCAGTGTGTAGAAAAATATTAAGTTTCGTACAACTCGACACTCCATTTATAATATAAATTAATTGATTAAGAGGACATGAATACGTGATACTCAAATGTGTTGTCTCTCTTACAAATGCGCATCATAACAAATTTTCTGCTCAGCAGATTGCGTTTAGTTCAGTTAGTTTAAAATTTAGAATAACTATACAATTTAAAGGTAAGATAATTATCTAGTCAATCTTATAGGCTTTTATCATATTTATTTTACTTGAATTATGAGTATTTTAATATGTACGATAAATTCACAATTTTAAAATACTCATAACTCACTTTTAAATTAAAATATAATAAAAATCCTATGATATTGACTAGACAATAATATTAACTTTAAATATTAAAAGAAGTCAATTCACTTTAAATTCTAAACTAATTGAGCTAAACGTGATCTTCTGAGCGCAGTATATGTTTCTAACTTGTAAGACGGAGACAACGCTTGCACCTGTACATGTTATTCAAAGTTTATAATATATTTATAATAAATTACTATTAGATTAGGTACCTACTAATGGTTTTATTTTTTATTTTTTATTATAGGGATCTGAAGATTCAGACGTTATAACAAATACAGCGGACCTGTCTCTGGGCATTGAAAAGGAAGCGCTGCGGCGCGAAAATGAGCACAGAGCTCGTTCACAACTACTTAACAGTCGTSTAAGTATAGTAAAGATAAATATTGTAATTTTATTATTTTAACCCACTGCATGCGAAAAAAAGTCCAAATCGCATGCATGCTATCTAATAGATAGGTCTGTCCAAATTGCATGCCATATCTTTTAGTGGGGTGTGTCCGAATTTAATGAAACGTAACGAAAAATTTATTTATCATACATCACWTATATGCACAAAAACTTCTTTTTGAACTTTTCTAATTTTTTAAAAAAAAAACCACATGTATATAAAAGCTCTGTATATATGGTTGTAACAACTGTATAGTTTCTATATTAAAATATTTATATGTTAATTCATTCATTAATTAAAATTATATATTAATATATTATATTAAGATTAACGATTTTGAAAAATAATATTACTGTTTTATTATTTAAAAAAAGATTTTTATTATAATTTATTTGAAATAACATTTCAAAATGTGAAATGCATTCACTGAATTTCTACGATCGTTTTATATAATATTTAATACTCACAATGTTGCMTTCTAAAATATGTATACACTTTATTGCAGTATAACATAAGCCCTTATTCAGTGGAAAGTAAAATAAATTATTTTATTTAGYAAAATTTTAAATTATACATAGTGTGCAATCCGGACATACCTCTCTAAGAGATGGTATGCAATTTGGATATTCCAATTTATGTTTGTTTTTTTGGCATGCGATTTGGAAGCCGCATTTTAACCACCTTTAATCAATTGGAAATAGCAACATAAATACTGAATAGGTAATATTTATTTATACGATGGACGATAAATACCATTTTTAAACAGTTAAAAAATATAAAACTTCTTAAAGATTTCGTTAATTATAATAAATACCACTACCCAAAATAACTAAAAATAATGCAAATTATAATTTCGTTGTCGACTATAATATAAGTACTCTAAAATTTAAAAGTCTAAAATGCATTTAAACTATAACTTTTTTTTTAATTGTAACTAGTTGAAATATTGATATGCATTAGGTGTAATATTTAACAAAACGACTACTCAAATATCATGCTTTTTCATTAAAAAGTACATTTTAAAATATTTTTTAATATTATATAGATTCATGAAAATGTTGGGTTACGCAAAATAATTATATAATTATATGAGTTTTATAGACCTTACTATACGTCTATAATCTATACATTAATAATTATCAACATCATACAAAATTTAATTGTTTATGTTTTTTTTTTTTACTTTAGCAATACATTGTCTCTTATAAGAGTACTTGAAAATTATTTCATTTTTAAAGTATAATGTAAAATGTTCCACTAACATGTTTGTTAAATGTGATTTTATGTTTTCGACATTTAAATGGTTGTGCAAATATTGTATTTTTATACGATGGTGACGATGGTGTTAAAGTTAAGCATTTGTGATTTTCAGACAAAACCGGTGGCGTTTGCCGTTCGCACAAATGTCGCATTTGATGGTAAAAAGGACGATGACTCACCAATACAAGGCTGTGCGATCACATTTGATATTAAAGATTTTTTGCATATCAAGGTATGGTAGTTTGGTGTTTTCTAATAAAATAAATATCACAGTAGTATTTTGGTTATAATATTAGATTAATATAAAATAATACGTTTGTATATTTGTATAATTAATATTTTTCTAGATACATAATACACTTAAATTCTTGACGATACATGTAGTTCACTGTAGAAAGATTTTTACAAGATTATTATTCGTATTATATTTTTATACTATTATAACATGTCAGACTGGCAGGAAATTGAAGAAAGCCATATGGACCAGCCAGTCATATYGTGTTTTAAGTTGTACGTTTTTTTCTTTTAATATATACACATAGCTTAGTTCGTAAAACACTTGGCATGATTTTCAGTTTTATTTTTTTGCTCAACAACATACTAAATAAGTAGACATTAGTTTTCAAAGTACAATAATCTTTTATTTTTAATACTTAGTATAATGTGTATAGTCTAGTTTATTAACCAAGTTTGTTGCCTTAAACATGTAAAGTTGAATTCAGTTAAAAATTATATACATTTAGACCAAGGTTGATGAGAGTTAAAGACAATCTATTTCGTAAGATTAATTACAAAAGGTTAGCTTTGGGTTAAAATAATACATGTAAATACATATTTTGTACATAAAAAGTGATGAAAGAAATATTGATGTATACCAATTATACTGTCTTTTAAGTAATTACCTATTTTGTTTTATTAATTATTTATTTTTGTTGTATTGCTTATATTGAAATCATAATATAAAGATTTAAGGAACATTTTATTAATTTGAAAATGAATTTAATATGAATCAACATATTTTCGTATTAYGTTTATATAAATTATTGATAGAATTAATCAAAGTCCGAATATAGTCTGATATGATGTAATATCATATAAATCGATTCGAATATACATAAAATAAAGAAATCAATTTGAACATCAATATAACTAGGTGATTAATGCATTTTAAAACCCACATTCTTCTAATAATTCAAACATAATATACCTAAAGATTTTTATTTTTAAGAAAAGTATGATGAAAAATGTATATAAATRACCAAAAAGAGGGTTGTTGGCCCTTATCYTTGTAAAACTACTTTTACACAAAGTTTCTCGCCCTTAAAAATAAAAATACGAAATTCGTCTTTGTGATTTTATAGCACTATGCATATAGTGTAAAGCTATATGTATGTCTCGTGAATAGAATTGTGTGACGTTTTCAAGTATCTTCAAAATGTTTTTCACTACTTACCTTTACACCACTCTAATGTCCACTTGTAAAAATTTCCTGATACAGCCTATATAATTATACTGAATATTATTTTTATTTTTATTGATCCTATATAAAGGCTTATAGGGGATAAAGGGTTTACAACAATACAAATATAGAACATTATAATGATATATCGGTGCATACTACTTGCGTCCCAAATTGATAAGAGTAGGAAACTCATACCTGTCGTACTGACGGGTTATTCGCGTCCTAAACGATAATTTAATAATTTCGTAACGAAATTACCACCGTATCAATATAATTTGACAGCTTGGTACATAAGAAAAAAATTATATATAGGATATTGTAAGGTATATAGTTATATCTTATATTTAATAATAAAGTTCAAATAATATTGCATATTGATAAATAAAACATTATAAGTCAATATTGGCTAAAAATATATGACAAAATRTCTCAATTATGAATAACGTGAAACACCTTTTATTTTTAAATTCACTAATTATAGTTTCAGTTCTTTCAATTTTATTTATTGATTACTTCTCTTTTTTCCTCCTTAAATTTTATTGGACTAAAATGATATCCAGTGTATATCAAATATTAAACTATTTAGCTGATATTTTACCTTTTTTAGCCCCTTTGGCTA